CTGATTTTGCTGCTTTTGTGACTTCCTCTTTGACTTGGCCTGCTGGACAAGGGTCTCTTCAAAATGGGAGAGGCAGTGATGCAACACCTGCCTCCAGGTGTCAGGGTTTCCCATCTGTTGAGGTCCATTCCTAAGGCCTTTAGATCCCGCTTGCAGATATCCTTGTATTGCAGCTGTGGTCTCTCTCTGGGGCAATTTCCCTGCACTAATTCTCCATACAGGAGATCCTTTGGAATCCAACTGTCAGCCATTCTCACGTCATGCCCAAGCCAACGTAGACGTTGCTGTTTCAGTAATGTATACATGCTAAAAATTCCAGCTCGTTCTAGGACTACTCTATTTGGAACTTTGTCCTGCCAGGCGATACCAAAAATCCGTCGGAGGCAATGCATATGGAATGTGTTCAGCATCAGCTTGCATGGAATATTAGAGCAGTAACCTTACAGTTTTTGCACTGCCTGGCATCGCCTTTCTAGGAGAGAGAAATATATATGGAATTTTGCCAGTCTATGAGCTATTGTTTTGTTTTCCATTTTTCGTTGGCATATTCTTTTTAGGATTTTGATAGATTCAGTCTGTGTGGCTTGAAAGAGTCACAGTTCTGCTCATATTCCATTTACTCCTGGTGATTTATTCTTCCTAGTGCTTTCAGAGCAGCTTTCATGTCACATTCTAGAACTGGAGGTTCTTCGTCATAGGATTCCTCTTCAAAAGTCTGTCATTCTTGCATTTCTTCTGTGTAGGTCTTCAGTATACTGTTTCCACCTTCTCTTTATTTTCTCCTGGTCAGATTGTGTGCTTCCCTGTTGGTTATTCCACATTCCTAATTTAGGCTTGAATTTCCCTTTGATTTCTTGGATCTTCTGGAAGAGATCTCATTTCCCCCCTATTGTTCTCCTCTTCCTTTGCACTGGTTGTAGTGTTTCTCTTTTGTTTCTACATGAAATTCACTGAAAAACTACACTTAGGGCTCTGACCTACAGTATTTCTTTTCACTTCTGCTTCTCACCTTTCCTTAACCATTTTAACTTTTTCTTTTCTCATCCATCTAAGTTACTCTTTTCTTTTTTACTACAAGAATTGTATTTTTGTATTCTTCCCTAATAATATCTCTGGTTTCAATCCACAGTTTTTCTATCCACTTGTAAAAATGATTATTTTATAATCTTAAGTAGATAAATAAAAGGTTGATGATGCAACCATAGAAGGGGTAAGTCCTCCCCTTCAATCAACTCATTAACGGGTACGTTACATATTGGTTGAGCACTGTATGTACACACAGCTGTAGTGCATCTGGAGCCCTGGTCAATAAGTTGTAGGCAGCTCCTTCTTCATACTAAAGACTCTGTTATGCAGTACAAGGAACATGCCTATAAAACATGATCCTACTCATATGCACTGAACACTGGGAGGAGGTAGATGCCTATGAACATACGCTTATATTCAAAGGAATATATTTTCAAACATGTGAGCTGCTATGCAAAGCATTTCAAAGCCATAATCATTCTGTAACAGAAGAACATTTTGCTCTCTAGGCAAACCATTTATTTTGATAAGCACTTTTACAAATGCTCATTAAGAGTTGGCAATGTAATTCACAGAAATGCTACACACATTGTTGTATGCTATATTACAAAATTACTTCATTCAAACATTTAAATTGTTTCTCTGTTATTCAGAGAATGCTTCAAAGTCTTGATTTAAGTCTAAAACAAGGGCATCCACAAAGTCTTCCAGTGATGGGTACTTCTGAAGCATACCTAAGAAAAACACAGGGACATAATGAGTTTTTTGTCAAAGACTTTGCTGTAGCGTGGAAAGTGAAGACTGCTCTTCTGAAATCAGTGCACTCCAGTAGCCAGCTGATATTTGTTATGAGCTTGAGTGTCTCTTCATTTTTGAAATCCAGCTTGTTTAAAATATTGCTAGTACAAGCTATTAATAGGCAATTCCAAGCTCAAACAGGTTGGGCCAAACTGAACTACCCTATTACTACTTTCAATCACCACAGCCAATAAGCAGAGAATCAGTTCTTGTGGGAAGTGATTTAGAAATTCCATATGACTGATCAATGCTTCACCAGTACCCTAGGTTTGAAAATAAGGGTTGACATCATGTTCCATAAGCTGAAAACAGAACATTTCCAATTTCTCCCCTGAAGATTCCAAGGCTCCCATTTTTATCCTTTTGCCACAGGGAAGCTTTTGGTGGCCATGGAAGCGGGGAGCCTCAGTTTCTGAAAAATGCTGCTGGCAGTAATCTTGGCCGTAGTGATTTTTAGAAATTAAATATTCCCCACACCCCCATCCTGCAACCCCCAATGGCTTCTCAACAATAAAAGGGACCTTTGGCATGGAGCAAGAATTGGATACATTTTATTTGCAAAAAACTGTCATGGCTGATGACATCATCTGCCTTACACAGCATGGCTATGTGGACAAGATTTCAGCTAAGAGTTCATGAACTGGAAAACAGACTTTTTACTTTAAATGAAAAATTTCTCTTAAAGATCCATGAATTTGGAAACAACACTAAAGTATCAAGCATAAATTTCAGCTTCTCTTCATTTCTTTAACATCCAGTGGCTGAAATCCTGTTAGTATCCTTAGTAAGTCACAACTAAAATACGTTCATTTGAATAAATAGAATTACAGAGGAGTTTACTCACCAAATCCCCAGTCACAACTAAAATAGGTCAATTTGAATAAATGGAATTACAGAGGAGTTTACTAATTCAAAGGGCCTACTCAACTGAGACTACACCAAGCAACAGAATTTCAATCAGTGTGTTGTGGAAGATAGCATGTGCTTGCTGGGCCATTCCCCATTATTGTGTTCATTTTCCCTGGTCCCAATCCACACATGGAAAGGCAAATATCTGCTGCTGTGAGCCTGCTCAATGTGACATTTGTACCTCACTTTTAAACTATGAATGTTACTTTGGCTACAGACTCAGCTGGTAGGGTGCTCATGAACTGATGCAATCTGTTCAGAATCTGGAGCCTCTGCCCCACCTGCAGATTTCCCAACCTCAGTTATAGAGAAAACATACTTTTCAACAGAGCAAGGCATGTACAGCCTAATTTTCATGATATTTTCCAGGTTACCAACATGTTAAATGTGAAATTGGGAAATTTCTAATATTGTCCTGCACTGGAAGAATGAGCAAGGCATGTACAGACTGATTTTCATGATATTTTCAGGTTACCAACATGTTAAATTGGGCAATTTCTAATATTGTCCTGCACTGGAAGAATAAAATATGTTATATAAAAATGACTGGCCTTTGAAGCAATTCTCTCTGTTAGATGTTCTAATCTGACTATAACTTTGCTGTATTTTTTGCTTTAGGAATACCCAGTACAATCACTTAATATTCCTACTCGCCTCAAACAATTTGGTTTCTATGGGAATAATAATACAAACTGAACTCTTCCACTGAGCCCTGTAATCAGCTTCTACAAGAGCCAACTGGTTTCATTATGTATTTGTGATGGCACACTAATAGTTCCAAAAAAGAAAAAAGAAACACTCAACCAGGAAAAGAGTCCAGTTCTTGAGGCAATTTGAAGCAGTTATTAGGAGAGCTTCTTCCTAGGATCTCAGGAGATCATGAATTTAATTAAGCTTAAAATATGTGCTTAGCAAGTGACAACAAGAATGCTCAAAAAGACAGTTGATAAGTGGTGCAAATTAAGAAGAGAAAAACTTACACAAAAAACCAGGATTGAAATACAATCAAATAATATTTTTATCATCCAAACCAGTATAAAAATATGCTCATTGCTAGTGGCTTATACTGACCACAATATTTGCTTTGGAGTCCACTTTTTTTGGGGGGGGGGAGTCAATTCAAAACCAATTCACTTTGACTTAAACCTTAATCCTTGAACCTAAGTTGAGATTTGAAATTCTAAGGTTCTTATTATTTACTGGAGATCAAAAATGTTGTCTTTGTCAGAATTAAGCTTTGATAGGCATAGCTGCAAGGGGCTTATACCTGCCGGATTGCATCCCAAGAAGAAGAGGAAATTTTGCATCAAATAATATTCATCCAAACCAGTATAAAAATATGTTCATTGCTAGTGGCTTTTTTGGGGGGGAGGGGGAAGTCAATTCAAAACCAATTCACTTTGACTTAAACCTTAATCCTTGAACTTAAGTTGAGATTTGAAATTCTAAGGTTCTTATTATTTACTGGAGATCAAAAATGTTGTCTTTGTCAGAATTAAGCTTTGATAGGCATAGCTGGAGGGGGCTTATACGTGCCGGATTGCACCCCAAGAAGAAGAGGGAATTTTGCATTATGTAGCTTTGGAGCTTGACTCCCCCCCAAGGGAACTGTATATCTTTGTTATTTCTTGGCAGAATTGGTAAAAAAAATGCAGATGACCTACATAGCACTACATAGATGACTTGGCTTCTTTAAGAAAAACAAGGTGGTAAAGTTTCCGTTTAATTGGTGCTACGTTATTTGTACAAAATGACCCTTTCCATGTGCCACATATCTTCCACCCCACAATTTTTTAAAAGTATCCCTCTAGATAGAACCAAGAGTCACTCAAAATTCTACACACTTGGCTTGAGTGAAGGAGTAAGGCAAAAGCAACATGACAACATGAATATCAGATATCCTAGATGAGAACAATCTACATAGATGACCTACATAGCACTACATAGATGACATGGGGATAGAGGTAGACAGGTGCTGGAAACAGGATGAACTCTGTTTTCTTCAATGAAACCCTCAGTCCCAGCACCTGCTTGGCTGCCTCTGCCTCCTGGGCACCTATGCATAGAATCATAGAATAAATGCCTCTCCCCATCACATCATCATATTTTCCATAACCTAAATACTGCATATATGTCTTAACAAAGAAAGGCAAGGTAGAGAAAAGTGTGTGCTGTAACCCATATTTACAAAAATCTTATCTGCAACCATGAGAACCCAGAAAAACTCAGCTGAAGACAAACACAGGCTGAAGTAATATCAAATCCTAGATCTCTCAGACAAAAATAAAGTCCACACTCTCTAAAGTGACATTCCCACTAAGAAGCCAGGGATCATATGACTATAACAATAGTCCCTTATGGAGTATAATGTAAAGAAAGTGATATATAAAGAAGGCATGGTTCTTGAGTTCCAAAAGAGATCCAACAAAGACAGCTGTCACTTTAAAAGCTGTGAACTTACTTTATAGGTATCATCTGACTGTAATTCTACTCTGTGCCTCCCAAGCCTAGGGCAACTATAGAGATCACCTCTTTGAAGTCCTATACTTTCCACATAACATCATTAGGGTTAACCACACCTTTTCTGGAAATTGCGTCCCCCAACCTTCACTCACCTACAACTGAAACATGCAAAAAGCTCCACTGTTCTGAAACTTCATAATTATTCTGATTCCGTTAGCTAAGCTAGAATTTATTGCTGCTTACAGCTTTGTCTTAAATAACAAGGTACACCAAAGTGATATATAACCTTTCAGTGACTATTGAGTTAACATTTAATATTGGGTTAAAAATGAATGAATAATATCCAGAGAATCAAACTATCCAGGAACAACTGGCCAGTTACCATATTTAATCTCCTCCACACAGCGCTGGAAGACCTTTGGCTTTCTATATGTTTTGGATCAAAAATCTCCAAATCCCTTACTGGTGGCTATCTTATAAGCAGATAGCTGCATTCCATGTCAACCATTTCATTTCTGAATGTAAATGAATGAATGAATGAATGAATGAATGAATGAATGAATGAATGAATGAATGAATGAATGAATGAATAAATAAATAAATAAATATGTATTTTTGACCTCTGTATTTTCTTCCCTGTGGAGAAAAGAAGGATCAGCCAGCATTCTCTGTGACTGTGACAATGCCAGTGGGTACCGTAAAAGGGAAGGGACAAAAATTAATCTGCATTCCACTGGGAAGTGAGGTAAACAGAGAAGAAGTGATGGATCTTGCTGGGGTTTGTATAAAGTTTGAGTAACTTGCCATTGTAAACTGGGGCCAACTGATGAGACAGCCAGGCATATAACCAGCACTTCATTAATTAGCTGCAATTTGCCAGTAGTGATAGATCTTGCTGGGGTTTATATAAAGTTTGAGTAACTTACCATTGTAAACTGGGGCCAACAGCCAGGCATATACCCAGCACTTCATTAATTAGCTGCAATTTGCAACAGAAAAGCACACAGACCTAAACAACAGGATTCTTACCAGCGCATGTGAATAAGAGAAGGATAAATACAGTATCTGAGTGCACCCTATGCTATGGCATCAGTGACTTCAATCAAACTTTGCTAATCATCTGTAAAGAAGAGTTTAAGCACTAGGCCGCTCTGCTGTGTTCACGCTTTAGCAAATGCCATCTAAATTATAAATCCAAAGATAAAATGGAAGTATTTCCAAGTGGTTTTTAAAGTTGAAGCAGTAGAACTTGTCCAAGAGCGGATTGGAAAAACATGCAAAGCAAAAGTGGCAATATTACCTTGAACCATGAGCATGGGTTCTTTTCCTCCACCGTGTGCCAGCATTTCTCTGCGGTAACGTTCACCCATTGCCCTGAAGGAAAAGATGGTGTTATTATAGCCACCTGCAATCATAATCAGTTCAGTTTCCTGTCACAACTGTCTCCGGGTTCCTTGCTGAACTGACACAGATAAAGATCTAATGAAGTCTGGCACTTTAAACTCACATGCCTGTTCCAGAAAGGCACTCAATAAATAAAATGCTATCATAATATGCTAAGCTTGACAGATTGTAGATGTAACCAAGTATGATAGAATCCCACATTTGTCTGAGGTTTTGTAACCCATCCACCCAGACAGTAAGCTTCCCATGTCGTAAACAGGAATAGTGTAGTAAATGTATGCTGCTATGGTTTACAAAATGACATGAAACCTTTATACTGAGTTTTGACAAGACATTGTAAAATCTTGTTGTTGTTGTTGGTAATAAAATTGGCAGTGGTGGCTCGTTCCAACATAACAGTCGTGTAGGTTTGATTTTTAAAAAAACTAGTATTTCTTACAGATAGGAAAATCTGTAAATGACAATAATTTACTCCCCACAATAATCCAAGTGAAAATTGATTCATGAAATTTTAAAAAGGGAAACTGAATTTTTGTAAGAAGACAGGTATTCAGAGAGGTACAAGATCCCACTTAATTTTAATGATAAAGTTGAGAAACTGCCCCTGGATTTAGAAAAAATATATGCCACAGATAGGCACAGCTCTTTCATTTCTCAGTGATCATAGTAGAAAGCTGGCTCTTTTGTGCTTCAGACCATCTATCTTCTCCAACGCCTCAAAGGATTCTGTACCTCCCTGAAGCCTTCATTAATTGAACCCTTTCCCAGCAAGTGTGAAGAAAAGACTTCTCATCCTAGTGTTGAGCTTTAATGAGATTTGCTTTGCTTGGTATGTTTCCTAATGCTTGGATGTGACATACCTCTGTTCATCCCTAAGGGTCTGAAATGCTCACAGGCTAGGATGGCCAGTCCCATACTTAGCAGCATCTTGAGACACTAACAGTCAACTGCAACAGAGCCATTCAGCAAGCACAGCTTTTATGCTTGTAGGAGTGTAGTGATGGGAACAGAAGCCCTGTCCTGAAAGCAGTTAGACACACATCTTGCAAAGGCTTGAATTTACCACTAACATACTAGCAGCAGGCATTCTGCAGCACACCTATAATCATCAGTTCTTCTGAAGTAGAGACACATTTCATCCCTGGTAGTACTCTTTCCATACTTACTACACTGTCTCCGATCCCACTTCCTTATACTTCGATGTAGTGACAAGCTCAAATTCTTATTTCTATTAACAGTAAGTCAAAGGAATGGGGAAAGCAAAGCTAACATCATTGTTGCAAACATATAAATCTATACCATCTTTCTAAAGAGTTGAAGTCTGGTTCCTGTTGAAGTCATTCCTCAGGGAAGATGAGCATCTGAAGAACCTTGTCCTGCCCTGTATTTGATGCATAAGCACATTGCCTGTGGTTCCAGACTGCTTGCTCTCAGTCCTTACTTGCTCATATACCCAACTATTTGGATAGAGAAAGAATGCAGAGCATTTCTACTTGTATGAAATGAACCATTCTTAGAATCCCTATGCTCCTGAGCTATACTTAAAATAAATACTTATTGTTTCGCTATGTTTCACATCTGCATTAAAATATCACTGAATTGGTAAGGCAACAGTGGTACAGATATAACCAAAATGTTTCCTATCTGGCAACTCCATAGCACTTACATATACAGTGGTACCTCGACTTACGAACTTAATCCGTATTGGAACAGCGTTCGTATATCAAAAAGTTTGTAGGTCGAGGCAAGATTTCCCATAGGAATGCATTGAAAACCATTTAATCCGTTCAGGTGGTTTTTCGTTCGTATATCGAGGTGTAGTTCGTACATATTGGCATTAGTTCCCATAGGAACTAATGCAAAGCCGGTTAATTCGTACTCTGCCACTAGGAGGAGAATTTGTTTTAATTTTTTCTTCTTCTTTTGACCTAAGATGAACTTAGGTCAAAAAAAGGAAAGGGTTTTTTTTCGTTCATAAGTCGAAGCTCCGTTCGCAAGTCGAAGCAACATTTTGTGAATGGAGCCATTCATAACTCAAAACGTTCGCAAGTGGAGACATTCGTAAGTCAAGGTGCCACTGTGATTTTTTTAAGTTTTATTAGCAAATCAAACAAATCAAATGTTAAGAAATCTTGCAGTGCTCTGCATTTAATTTTTGTACCTGTTCAAGGGGTCCTGCACAAAGCACTGCCTCCATACCATGGATGCCACAGCCCGAGACATGAGATAGGAATAATACTTGGCACCATAACCCACAAGATGGCTGAACCTGAGTTGCCAGGCCTGTACAGGAAGGAAAAAAAAAGAACATTTCTTGTGAAACTGAAGCAGTGGTTTATAAACTTATCAATCCAAACAACATGTGTAGGTAACGGAGGGGAAATAACTCTTCTATAACTTTTTAAGCCAACTGCAAACTTCTTAACTTCTCCAATCTTAATACTTTGTTTTTAAAAAAACAGTGCAAAAAGCACTGAAAGCAACTAGCATAACATATAGCCCTATCTGATTTCATCCACACTGTTTCTTTTAGAGGATTAAAGAAAACCCACATTTTCCATGTTAACAAGTGCCATTATGTTTTACTTCCTATACAGATACATGTCATGTTGCACCTGGAAACGGTACACATGCAATAATCTGTCAAAAAGAAAGCAAGGGTAGAGAACATCCTTGTTACTTTTTAAATTACACCTAATATATTTTTTGCTGTTAAATTTCTTAAAATCCAGCACACATCATACATTTCAAATGTACTGTGAGGCAAACTGAAGCAGTAAAGTAAGTAGTTTTCATTCTAGTCTTAAAAGATTTTTCATTTGAATATATCAAAACTCAGCATGAAAAGTAATGTCTCTTCCAGTACTTAGAATCCAAATTATTTTCCACTGACACACATACTAAAGAATACAGATGTTCTTCCTGTTTCAGTTTTTCCTGTCTTGAGCACCATGATAAGAAGAGGATTATTTTTGTCTTTGATGAAATATTCATCTTGCAACCATTCAGTCTTGAGGCAACCCTTGAAACCTGCATTTGCCTGATAGGAACCACACACTGCAGCATGAGAGATTCCTAGGAATTATCGATGCATACATGATTTAAGTGGGACATTGGCTGGGCCTGCTATCTCCTCTAAGTTAAATAACCACATGACTTCCTTCAAGTAAAATATAAAAAGAAAGCTCAGTAGTTATGTGCAAACTATCTTCCAGGAAAGATCTCTCTCAATTATTGATCTTCATCAAATACAGCATGAGTCAATAACTGTGGCAATTTTACATTGTAAACATATATTGTGTATAGGTTTGGCTGCATGCATGGCGAGTGACTGTTAATCATACAGTTACAGATTGGTGCCAATGTTCTCTCTAAGCTGTGCAAGTGTGTGACCGTTCAGCACTGTATTGGTGCCACACACCAGCAGATAGTGTTGCCACTCATTTGATTCCAGTCATGGCAGGACATTTACGTCCACAGGGGTGGATGGAGTTTCTGCTCAGTTCTGTTGGAAAATTAGAGGGAACATTGATTGGTGCCAAGGAGTACAGTACCTATAGGCCCATTGCTTTAATCTCCCATGCAAGCAAAGTGATGCTCAAGGTCCTGCAAGAAGAAATGCCACTGTTTCCCAACCTGGGGATTGTAACCCCCTCGGAGGTCGTGAAGCATTTTCTGCAGGATTGCGGGTTGCTTTATATGTGTTGTAACTCTTGTTAACTAATTTCTTCCTTAACCTTTCAGAGCGGGATATTAAATTTAGCATGTGAGTATGAGAAACAGTCCCTTTAGGGAAGAAAGAAGCCTCTATTTACTGAGAAGGGATCACTGAAACTAATTTTTTACCAAAAAAAAAAAAATGCTAGCAGAAAGATATAGTTCCAGCTGCTTCTGCAAGAAAGGGATTTTAACTAAGGCATGTCATTTCTGGATAGCCTGAAGAAGAGAAGGAAAGGGGAGAAAAAAAAAACTACACATACAACAAACCCACAAGAGGGGACACAAAAACAAGCCGCCCGCCTCTTCTGCAGTCAGTGCAAGGAAAGCTTCATGTTGGTTTATAAGGGTGATTGCCTCTGTGCAGTTTTTGCCCCCTCCCTGGGTATCTCAACATCCTCTCACCCCCTGGTCTGTCTTTGACGCCCCCTGCCTTCTCTTTTCCCCACATTTAATCACCCCAGCCTGTTCCTCCCCTGGTTTTGCTGTTAGTAGGGGGACAAAAGGGAGGCCAGCCTGATCACCTGAGGTAGAGCAAACCATAACCTGGGAGCTGCCACAGAGAAGACCCTCTCTCTTCATCAAGCTTGCTTGTGCTAGCAGTGGGACCCAAAGAAGGGCCTCCTTTGACAATCTTAAATGTCAAGAAGGCTCATATGGGGAGATACAGTTCTTCAGGCAGCCTGGACCCAAGCTGTATAGGGCTTTATAGATAATGACCAGCACTTTGAATTGGACCCGGAAACAGACTGGTAGCCAATGCAATTGTTGTAGCAGTGGTGTTATATGCTGCCTATAACTGCCCCCCCTGCTGCATTTTGAACCAGCTGAAGTTTCCAAACCGTCTTCAAAGGCAGCCTCATATAGAGTGCATTAGAGTAATTCAAGAAGGATGTAACTAGCTGTAGTCAAATCAGACATATCAAGGAAAGGTTAAGCAAACACAGGGTGATAAATAAATGTTACACGTCCACTCCTTTCTAACACTAACCGATCAGCGCAACAAAGGTGCACTTTATATAAAAGGGGAAAATATGGTGCTAAGTACATCAGTGCTGAAGTGGGACTAGCAGCCAACTAGCATGACATTCTGAAAGGCCATGGCCATGTATCACTAATACATTCTGTACTGGAATAAAGAGACTTCCAGGAGAAAGTAGTGTCTTGGATGTGTAGCACTGATTTATTTTTAAACTGTGAGGTTGTGCTTCTTGTGAAAACGTCTAGTGTGTTTGAAATTAATTTCAAATCACCAAATGGTCTCATCTTTCTTACCATTAATGCAAGTATCTAATGTTTCAAATTCCCCCTTGGAACCCTACCCTGTTTCTGGCATATATACAAATAAGCAGAAGGTACATCTTACTGAAAGTCATGTTTCTAAGGTGCAAGCAAGTTGATGAAGTCTTCAACTACATTATTTGCTTCTGTAGAGTATGTAATATGTCCCGAAAAAGCTGTAGAAAAACATTCCAAGAGTTCATTAAACAGTGGTGTGTTCCACAGCATAGCCCAAGGGTTATGATAATACACCATCTGTAGGTCATGTTCCTGCCTGTTTTTTCTGCTAGTGGAACTAACAGAAATGAAGGTGAATGACTGTTCTATAAAACTAATAGTTAAAGATGCCTGTTTCTCATTAACATAGCATCAAATGCACCAGTGATTTATCTTGTCTGAAGATTTTCCAAAAATCCATACATGCTTTTTATTAGGAAAGATGAAAAGCTGACTGTTCCCTTGTGGCCAAGACTTTTGAATAAAAGACACATTGGCTATATTATATGAGTATAAATAGAATTTTAAGGGCATTACTACAATTCCCTACATTCTGTTTATAACACAAAAGCTTCTAATGCAAACTGCAACCATGTGCTGTCTAAAGAGCTCATTTAAAATTTTAAAGTTGTTAACAGTTTGAGTTAATCAAATCATGATAGTATTATTGAGCAAAACAGCACAACATACAATTCTGATATACCATTCTTAAGTAAAATGTAACATGAAAAAGCATATGTTGCTCTGCATTGCTCTTTCCAAAAACAGAATAGAAAAGGGTAATAGTCAAACTCTTTCAGTTAAGCTTAAGTTAGAAGGTGAATTTTTTTTAAAAGGGTGTAAGCTAATTTGGCATTTAGGTTAGGTAACATCAATAACACCTTATCAAAGAAGAAGAATCCCATCCATCATATTATTATTATCTACCCCATCCCCGTCTTGAGCTTTGGAGAGAAGGACACAGATGCATGAATTTTTGAAAAAGCCATCTCACCAAAACCTCTTTCTCGCTTTCCTCCTTGTTCTCCCTCATAATCTCATCTCCTCACCCTCCTCCTCTTATGACTACTGATCCTCAAGTGGATTCTAAAAATAGTCCCAGAGACCAAAAATTCAGTTCCCTGGACAGATGAGGAACTGTGTCCAGTGTGGAACATAAGGGGATCACCATCTTGATGGAAGAAACATCACCACCTGCTTCTAAGACAACCTCACTATTTGTTCATTTGAAGTTTTTAAACCCTGCACTAGAAAGCTCATTAAACAAGGGCTGCCAGGTTTGCATTCATTGAAGTTTAATACTGTGCGCATGTACCAAGGCACCATCTTCAACACACAGTGAAATTTACTCTCAGAAAATGTGTTCATAGGAATACAGTCACCTGACAGTTCAAATCAACGGCAGATTTACTCAGAAATAAATTCTATTGTGTTCTTACTCTTATGTACAGCCTGGCTTGTTTGTTTATTTTATTAGTTACAAACTCGGCTGCCAGGCTGTTTGTCTTTCCCCCCATTTTTAACCTTTCTGTAAGCATAATTTATTGCATTGTATATATCTGCAGGCATTTTGTGTGGAGAGGCAGCACTTAAACTGCAGGCCCATATCCACATATCTTGAAGTAAATATCAGATAAAGTGAAACTTACTTTTGAAAGGATATGCCTCGGATTGCCCTTACCCAGTACTTTTCTATTACCAAAAAAACTAACTCAGTTCACTTGTAACTGTTACTGTTAGTCTCTGGTAAAAAAATATTAAAAGCACCTTCTTGGTGCTTGCTTCAAAAGTATTTCCCAACCTGGAGGTTGCAACCACCAAGGGGGTCTCTCAAAATGGTTTATTTTTTGGGGGGGGGGAGTGAGTTATTGGGCATCTTATATGTGTTATAGCTCTTGTTAAATAAAGTTGCAACCACCAAGGGGGGCTCAAAGTGGTTTATTTTTTTGAGGGGGGAAGTGCGTTATTGGGCACCTTATATGTGTTATAGCTCTTGTTAAATAATTTCTTCTTTGAATAAGAGAAAGCCTTTGCAAAAGCCTTTGACTGTGTGGACCATTCTTTGATCTTTCATAGAGGGATATTAAAATTAAGTATGTATGTGTGAGAAACAGGTCTTTTAGGGAGAAAAAGAAGCTTCTACTTTCTGAGATGACTTTACCCCCATTAAAAATGCCTTTCTATGCAAACATAGCAGGGGGCATACACTACTTGGTTATTATAAAAGTGTGGGGGGGTATGAGTCAAAAAAGGTTAGAAACCACTGCTATAAGAGAAAACTATTCTCA